TGCATTCTATGAAGGAAATAAAAAGTGAGCTGATACAGCGGGGGTAGAGGGAGCTAAATTTAGACGAGAGCAGTCAGCTGTGTGCCGGCTTATATTTACGCAGGGGTCAGAGAGACAAGCAGGAACCAGATTATGATGGATATTATGGTGATGGTTTTGGGTTTTAAGCGCAGTTGGAGCCATGAGAGGGTTTTGAGTGGTATAATGACTTGATCTGATTTCCGTCTTCAAAACGGCATTCAGGCTGCTTTGGGGAGGTGGGTTATAAGGGAGCAGCGCTGGAACAAAGGTTTGCGTTCAGAAGGCTTTTTCAGTTGTCAAAGCGAAAAGCGATTGGCTTTTAACTGGGGTAGAGGAGAGAAATGGCTGGATCCGGGATATATTTTGGACAGGAGGGGAAGTCTTGATGGGTGAAGGCAGGATCCTGCAGGATGAAGAGCGGGATCTAGAACTTGAGGGGCCCAGTGTGCTACAGAGGAGTGGGTGTTTCCATAAGTGTGGGCGTGCTGGGGAGGCCTTGAGGCAGAGTCCACAGGCTCCTTGTTTCTTCTCCCCCTCACCCAGGTCCTGGTGCCTGATGATGGCCGCCCCACCACACCCCCGAGTGACCTCATCGAGATCCAAGTGGTGAAGGTGACAGACACCACGCTGGTACCTGAGCCCCCGGAGCCAGGTTCTCTTCACTGTGCCTTGTGCCCAGCTGCCTTCCGGCTGGTCTCCGAGCTGCTGTTCCACGAACATGGCCACCTGGCGGGGGCTGAGGGCGGCGGGCAGGGTGGGGACCCCAGCCGGTGTCACGTGTGTGGCCACAGCTGTCCGGGCCCCGCCAGCCTGCGTGCCCACTACAGCCTGCACACGGGAGAGCGGCCCTACCGCTGCGCCCGCTGTCCCCGGGCCTTCAAGGCCCTGGCGCCTCTGCTGCGGCACCAGCACCGGCACGGGGTGGAGCCGGGGACCACTCAGAGGCCCTCAGAGGCGGCCGCGGCTCGGGAGCAGAGGCCGGGGGTGCCCCGGGAGAGGTCGGAGGTGGTGATGGCGGCGGCGGCGGCGGGCGCGGCGGTGGGGAAGCCGTTCGCCTGCAGGTTCTGCGCCAAGCCGTTCCGCCGCTCGTCGGACATGCGCGACCACGAGCGCGTGCACACGGGCGAGCGGCCCTACCACTGCGGCGTCTGCGGCAAGGGCTTCACGCAGTCCTCGGTGCTGAGCGGCCACGCGCGCATCCACACGGGCGAGCGCCCCTTCCGCTGCGCCCTCTGCGACCGCACTTTCAACAACTCCTCCAACTTCCGCAAGCACCAGCGCACCCACTTCCACGGGCCGGGGCCCGGGCTGGGAGACCCTGGAAGCCAGCTGGCCTCGGGGGCCGAGGGGCCAGGGAGTGGGTACGGCGCAGGAAACACCCTGGAAGAGGGATGTGGGGGGACGGTGAGGGTGAAGGTGGAGGTCGACCAGTAGGCTGGCAGAGCAGGGCCGCCGGGGCGCTAACGTGGGAAGGAGGAGGCAGACTGCAGGGGAAGCGGGGTGGGAAAAGGAGACGGAGGACAGAAGAGGGGAGACTGGAGGAGAGATGACCTAAGAGCTGAGAGAGGTGGTCATGAGCAGCTAGTGTTGGAGAGCGGAGGGAGGACTTGGTGCAGGACGCCCACAGACCCACACAGCACCTCCGTGAGACTCCGAGAAAGGCGCAGATGCCGCGCTGTGGGTGCCCAGCTAAATGCGAGGAACAAGGGCTGGATTTCATTGCCCCATTTGCCTGCTCATTGGGTTGTCCTTGTGCAAGACACAGCTTGTCTCAGCAGAGCCTGGGCCCTCCAGATGGGGAGCCAGGGTTGAGTGGAAGGGGCAGAATCAGGGTGTGCCATAGTGTCCCTGGGCCAGCCCTTCGTCTGCAGAACCCTGGACTATCTTGGGGGCCCCTAGGGTGGACCGGGATGGAACCTTTTGCCTACCTCACTGGATTGCACTGAACATGGGACGCCGACCCACCCTCAGGCAGAAGGCGTCTGCCAGGTTCTCCATAAAGAGACTCTGGATCCCATCACCTCGAAGCCTGAGGGTCCCCAAGTCATAGCCGAGAGCACTCGAGCCTCAAGGATGTAAGCCTGGCCATAAGGATCTTGACCCCAAGAGCTGCTGCCCCCCGCTCCTGTGCTGGTCCCTCCTTCACCCACCCAGACTCCTTTTCCAAGGCAAATGAAAACCCGGACAGCCAACAGCCACTTGATATCCCCCTCCTAAAGCTTTAGGCTCAGAGCCCATGGCCCCCCAGGTCTACACAGTAGCCTCAGGTTTCTCCAATTTCCTCCACTCCCAATTTGAAGCAAACGGTCTACGGCCTGGTCCCACGCTATCCCAAGGAAGGGCTGGCGGATGGCGCTGTGGTTGTGGGTGTGGAATGAGTTGAGGGACTGGTGGGGTTAAGAGGAGGACTCGGGAGCTGGAGGTCGGATGCCTCCAGTTTTATTCCTATTAAAGGACTTTGTGAAGGGTTTCTCTCTGTTGGCCTTGTGTTTGGGTTGTGTGCATTTGGTGGGTGGGGGCAGAGGGGCCACACTGTGGTCTTGCCACCAACAGTGAATTGCAGCATACCTCTCCCCAAACCTGTTTTCTTATCTTTAGAATGGGCGTGGACAGCATCTGGCTATTCAGAGATGTTATGCGGTTCGCTATGGGAGTGGGGGCCAGAGAAAGTTTGGCAAAAGGAAGGCACTCCCATGATCAGTGTGTTTATTAAGGAGGGAAAGCTTCGGATTTGCACACTTTCCTGTTTGCCCAACACCCCCCACAAGATATCCCATAGACAAGTCATAAGTGAACAGAACTCAAACAAACGTCCATGTTTCCTATCTCATTGGCATCACCACCCAAGCTAGAAAGCTGGCAGGTTCCTTAAGCCTTCATCCCTCATCCACTTATCTAATCCCTTATCAAGTTCCTGCTGTTGATCCAGTTAAATATCTTTGGAATCTGAACACTTCTTCTCATCATCACTACTCTCGTAGACCAAGCGAACAGTGGTCTCACCATCTGGATAACTGTCCAGCAGCCCAGCCTCCAGGGCCTGCCCTCTTCATTCCCCATACCGCAGCCACATGGATCTTTCAAAAATGGATCCCGGGCTTGTCACCAACCCACAGCTCCTTGTGGCTTTGAGAAGACACAAATCCCTGTAGGATCTGCGTGGCAATGGAAATCAGTGAGGAAGGTGGCCGGGTTCAAGGGGAAAATACCAACATGGGCGAAGTGAAATATGGCACGTGGGCTCAGTGTTGGGATTCGAAGAGTGGTGGGAATTGGCAGACTGGAAAGTGTGTGCCCCGCCTGAAGAGGGAAAAGGCTGCTCAGTTCCGGGCAGATGCAAACTGTGTTGCTAGATCTTCCAAATTTGTCAGAAGTTGCATTAGTTCATATTATGTAAAATCTTGTGATTATCAAATGTTGGCAACTAAATCAAACTTTATTTTTTTTAAATGCACGGGTTAAACAAAACGTGTCAGTGGTTTGGGTCCAGCCTGGCAGCTGCCAGCTTCCAGCCTCTGGCCTATGCGACCATCCAGGCTCCTCCATTTGGAATTCAAGGCCCTTCAGGATCCAGCCTCCCACACCCCACCACTCCAGCCATACCAATCTATCTGAAACTCTGGAAGAGCTAGGTTTGGTCAGACTCACCAAACCCTCCACCTGAAATCCTCTGCCCACTTTACCTGGTAAGCCCCATGGCTTTGCATCATCGTTCAGGCATAACTCCTCCTCCGGGAGGCTTGTTTGCCCCCCAGTCTGATCAGGTGACTCCTCAGTGCTCTCACGTCTTTTAGCGTGCAGTGCTCCACATCCCCGGGACTTTTGAGCCCCGGGGCCCTGGCACGAGGTCTGTCTCACGCTGGGTCTTCAGCGTCAGAGCATGGTGGCCACACTGGGTTGCCGCCCTCTTGGGGGTCAAACAGGACTCACCCAGGCAGTGCCCCCTGAACGGGCTCTGCCTTCAAGTGTCAGCGTGGAGACAGCCTGGGACCACAGTCCTGGTTCCACTATGGATTTGCTAGGTGTCCTCGGGGCCTCTGTCTTCTCCAGGATCCCAGCCTCCTCCTCTGACAAATGGAATAACTAAACACATGTCGCAGGGCATATAGCTCACTATATTTTGAAGCTCTCCCAAATCATCCTGGAGGCACAGGTGCTATGAGCGAGCTTTATCATAAATACGAGTCCACCCATGGCTGCCCCGCAGCAGTGGTTCACCAGGAGTTCTCTTCCATCTCTCGAGGACCAGAAGCATGTCTAATTCATGTTTCCCCAGTGTCCAGCTTCAGGAAAAGGGGCCGAGTGAACAAATGCTGAAAGCATCTTGAAGGGAAAGGAGTCCAGGCACGTCGTCAGTTCCTGAGAACAGACTTACCTGTCTTGTTCATGCCCCATTTGCCCAACTCGCAGACTTTAAAGCTTGGCTGTGGTAAATCCTCAATAAATACCCCGTGAACGAGGAAAAGCAGAGAGCCTGAGGGTGAGGCAGAGGGGGCCAGGGAATCAAAATTCCTGGGAGGCAAGTTCTCAACCTTCCTTTTGCCAGCACTTAATCCCCTTTCCCTGGGATGCAAGAAAGGACTCCAGCGGCCCAGTGATAAGATTTATTATTCTCCACTCTGTAGAAGCCTCGTCTGCCACCCCGCCCCCCACCCCCACAATCCAAAAGAGCACCCAGTCCCCCCTTGACCCTCCCAACTCCGCTCATATTCCACTGTCCCGCCAGAGCCCAGAAGAACAGGGAGGGGCAGTTCAGACCCATCTCCACCGAGGCTTATGGGGGACAGAATGCCACGGGGGCGGGGGGCCGATGAGGGTTACAACACGGGGTTGGACAGAGGATCAAGTTCAGTGTCTGGTGGGATGAGAGGAGGGCCAGAGAGGTCCCGGATGGGAGTGATTCAGTCTTGAGTTTGTACGGCATGGGCCTTGAAGGAGGCTAGTCTGTCTGAAGGTCTGAAGGATGAATGGGACAACAGCAAGGAGGGGGAGGAGTCTGATAGGCCGGGGACGGGCCAGTCCGGAAGGGGACATCTGACTGGAGTGGCAGACGGGAAACCCTGTGGTCAGGCATCCTTCCCGGCCAAGGTGCCTGCCCCTGTTCCCGGCCCCCCCAGGCCCTCGGCCTTGTGGGCCAGGCGGTGTTTCTTGAGGCCGTAGGTGTTGGCGAAGCCCTCGCCGCAGGAGGAGCAGCGGAAGGGCCGGCCGCCCTGGTGGGCCGCCAGGTGCTTGCGGAAGTAGCCGGGATCCTTGAAGGCCTTGAGGCAGGCGGGACAGCGGAGCTCGGGCCGCGGCGGCTCGTGGGCGCGCTGGTGGCGCAGCACGGAGCTCAGGTAGAAGAAGCCCTTGCCGCAGTGCTCGCAGCGGTAGGCGCGCTCGCCCAGGTGCAGCCGCTGGTGCTCCAGCAGGTTGGAGCGGTAGCGGAAGGTCTTGCCGCAGGCGCCGCAGCGCTGGGGCCGGGCCACCGCATGCAGCCGCCGGTGCTCCGCCAGGCTGGACGACTGCGCGAAGCGCTTGGCGCACACGCCGCACTTGAAGGCCCGCTCGCCCGTGTGCACCACGCGGTGCTGCCGCAGGTACCAGGAGCGCAGGAAGCCTCGGCCGCACACGCCGCACCGGTAGGGCCGCTGCTCCGTGTGGCAGCGCTGGTGGCGCATCAGCAGGGCCGCCTCCCAGAAGCGCTTGCCGCACACCGGGCAGCGGAAGCCGCGCTTCTGCCGGTGGCTGCGGCGGTGCAGCAGCAGGTCATAGGCGCCCGCGAAGCTCTGGCCGCAGAGACCGCAGCCCAGGGTCCGCCGCACCAGGTGCACGTATTTGTGGGTCACCAGGCCCAGGAAGTGCTTGAAGCTCTGGCCGCACGTGGCGCAGCTGAAGCGCTCCGGGCCCGAGCTGGCACCCCCACCGCCCCCGGCCGCCGCCGCCCCGCTGGCGTCATCGCCCCCAGACACCCCAGCCAGCGCCGCCACGGCCGCCCCCACCTCTCCCGCCAGCCCGTTGTCCAGCACACTGGCCGCATCCGTGCTGCCGGAGCCATCCGGGGGCTGCGGGCCGCCGGGCGCAGGCGGGAGCAGGCGCTCCGGGGCCGCCTGGTGGACCAGCTTGTGCCACATGAGGTTCTCGATGAAGCCAAACGTCTTGCCGCAGGCATCGCAGCCGTAGGGCTTCTCCGCCATGTGGGCCTCCTTGTGGCTCATGACGTGGAAGAGATCCGGGAAGTGCTCGCCACAGTCCGAGCAAGCGTAGCTCAGTCCGTCGGCGGCCCCCGCGGACGTGGCCGAGCCGCCCGGGCCGCAGGTCCCCGGCGCGCCCTGGGTGGCCGGGAGGCCGGCGGCCCCGGCCAGGGCGCAGGGCAACTGCAGCCGGTGCACCTGGCGGTGGCGGGTGAGGCTCTGCGGGTAGCCGAAGACCTTGCCACAGAGCTCGCACTTGTAGGGGCGCTCGCGCGTGTGCACCACGTGGTGTTTGCTCAGGTGGAAGGACTCCCGGAAGCGCTTCCCGCACACCGGGCACTGGTGGGGCTTCTCGCCGGTGTGGATGCGCTCATGGCGCTTCAGGGTCTCCCGGCGCCCAAAGCCACGCCCGCAGATGCCGCAGCAGAACGTCTTTCCGGGGACGCTGGCACCGGAGCCCCCCGACCCGCTGGTCCCGGCCCCGCCGAGCAGCAGCGGGTGGGCCCCCAGGAGGGGGACGGGCACGGCGCCATACACCACGGCCGCCGCGGCGGCCGCCGCCTTCTCGCTGTCCGTGGCGGGAGGGTCAGGGGGCAGGAGATAGGGGCCCGGGGGGAAGGTGGGCGGGGGCTGCGGCACGGAGGCCACCCCGTCCTTCGGCGCGTCGGGGGCGGCAGGCGGGGCGTGGGCGGCCTTGTGCCGGAGCAGGCTCTGGGGCGCCGAGTAGGACTTGCCGCACAGGTCGCAGGGGTACACGGGCCGGGGCCCCGCCGCGCCCGCCGCCGCGTGGGCCGCCTGGTGCTTGAGGAGGTAGGCGGCGTCGCGGAAGGCCTTCCCGCAGATGCCGCAGGGCAGGCGCAGCAGGTCGGCCGAGTGCGTCTTCACGTGCCGCTTGAGGCTCTCCCTGCGGTTGAAGCTCTTGCTGCACACGGAGCACGAGAAGGGCTTCTCGCCCGTGTGGATGATCTGGTGCTGGTGTAGGTGGCTGGGCTTCTTGAAGACCTTCCAGCAAAGCGGGCAGGCAAAGGGGCCCTCGCCGCCCCCCGCCGCCGGAGGGGGCGCCCCC